TGACAGGCCTCTTTGTAATACTGAGGTTCTGAAAAAGAGTGAATAGCAGACAAAAAAGTACGATATAAAGCAGAAAAACATGTGTTAGACCAACCCAACCTGTTTGGAGGACGACGCTCATGAGGAGGATAGCGGTGTGCAGCAGGATCAAAGTCGTCAGAAGCAGAAGAAGCAGCAACAGGTGTAGAGACAACTGGTGGTGGAGGAGCCTTGCCACGAGAATAGACCAACAACGGAGGGGAAGAAGCAGCCGAAGGAGAAGAAGAAGCCATAGGTGACGTAGACGGAGAAGTAGGAATGGCCTCAAGAGGAACAATGGCGATATACTCATTTGATGGGACCTCAGAAGGAAATGGGTCAATGTGAACCAAATCCTCTTTGGAAACGGGAGCAGTGAGAGGGGGAAGCTGAAAGTAAGATAGACGTTTGAGAAAGGCAACATGGCGGAAGACATAGAGGCGACAAGAGATAGGGTCGTAACAACGGTAGCCTTTCTGAGTAAGACTGTAGCGCAAAAAGACACACAAGACAAACCAGGCACTAAGTTTGGTCCGATCTTTACGGGGAAGAAGGACAAAACAAGCAGACCCAAAGACACGCAGGAGGAAATAATTGGGAGGTTGGGAATACAAAGCCTGATAAGGGGATTGACCGGAGAGTAGGGGAGTCGGCATGCGATTAAGAAGGAAAGTAGCGGTAAAAACTGCCTCACCCCAGAATGGTGCCGGAACAGAAGCAGAGAGAAAGAGAGATCGAGTTGTCTCAAGGAGATGACGGTGTTTACGCTCAGCACGACCATTTTAGGCAAGGGTATCAGTACAGGAGGTTTGGTGAATGGTGCCCAATTTGGCCAAATACTCACCGAATTCAGTTTTAAAGTATTCCCCACCCAAGTCAAACCTGAGTATTTTAATTGTGGCCCCAAACTGTGTAGTGATCATAGACTGAAAGGTACAATATATCTGGTAGAAGTCAAATTTATGAGCCATAAGATAAACCCAGGTATAGCGGGTATAATCATCAACAAATGACACATAGTACGCAAAACCCCCTTTAGTGAGAACAAGAGAAGGTCCCCAGACATCAGTATGGACAAGAGAAAAAGGGGAAGCAAAAATAGAAGTACTGTTATTAAAAAGTAAAGCTGTCATTTTAACAAATTTACATCCTCGACACTCATTAATTTGACTAGGAGAAATTTTACCAAACAATCCTGATTGAGTTAAAGTCCGCAAGCGGTCAACAGACAAATGACCTAAACGAGAATGCCATAAATAAAAATGACTCGACTGAGAATCTAACTGAAAAGATGAAAGTGCAATGGCGGAGGTAGACAGAGGAAGATGCAGGCTTTCCACCACATAGAGATCTCCAACTCTACGGCCGGTCCCAATCTGCTTCTTGAACACCCGATCTTGTACACAACAGACAGAAGAAGAAAAGATAACATCAAAACCAGAAGCATCAAGCTGACTGATAGAAAGTAAGCTAACAGACAGTTGAGGAACATAAAGAACAGAGGGAATAGTAACAGCAGATAGGGCAGAGGGTAAAACAGACCCAATTGATAAGACAGACATACTAGACCCATTAGCAGTATTAATAGTAATAGGAATGGGAGGGGGGATACAGTTTTGGAGTAAGGAAAGGTAAGGAGTCATATGATGAGAAACACCAGAATCAAAAAGCCAGATAGAGGAAGGAATACCTGAAGAGGACCCAAGCAAACCTGTATGAAGAGAGGTGAGAACAGAGGCAGAGGAAGATGACTAAGAGGTGGACCAGAGATGTTGAAGCTGGGCAATCTGGGCACTCAAGGAAGTTAAGTCAGGATCAAAAGCCGGAGCAGATGCAGTATAAGCAGCATGAGGGCGAAAAGTACTCGGAGCAGGACCTCGGAACTGTGGCTGAAAAGACTGAGCAGACTGACGGCTCTTCTTGGGACAATTGTTCTTCCAATGGCCCTTCTGATGGCAAAAAGCACACTCATCAGAGGCTAGAGGCCCCTTCTTGGACTTCGCATGGCCCTGAAGCTGATGAGATAGTGGGGCTGACAACAGAGAAGGCTGAGTAGGAGCCAAGAAGACAGATGGAGACAAAGTCTGACTAGCCGTCTTAAGACGGGTTTCCTCGGAGAGGAGCTCACGAACAACAGCATCCACAGAAGGGAGAGGAGACCAATGAAGGATGCCACCACGGATAGCCTCATACTGAGGGGAGAGAGCCGTTAAGAACTGCACTAAACGACCTTGCTCCCAAAACTCAACATAAGCGTCTAGTGCCTTGAGGCTAAATGGTTCCATGAGAACCAACTGATCCCAGAGACCTGTCATCTCAATATAGAAGTCCTTAATAGATTGATCCCGCTGACGAGCACTCTGAATAGATGTTTTCAACTCATACCGTTTGGCAAAGTTGGGCTGCTGATACATACCCAATAAATAGTCCCACACCTCCTTAGCAGTACTGTATTTGGAAAACATCATTCCAATACAGTCATCCACAAAATTATGAAACCAGATCAGGACTTGGGCATTATCACAATCCCAAGTGTCATAGGAAGTCAGATATCCCTCTTACTCCGGGTCTAACGGACGAGGAACAGAACCAGAAACATAGCCCCATTTTTTTTAACCAAGAAGGAAATTCTTCATAACACTAGCCCAATAAGCATAATTGGCACCAGTGAGTTTACATCTAATAGCTTGAATTTTGGTGTCCATCATTGTAATAAACCAAAGATAAAATAGGTCGAAGTATAATAATAACTAACAAGTGGGCCAAACAGGAAATCAGATCTTCTTTTTTTTTATTATTAAAAGAAAAACAAATAAGAGTACTGAACCAAATTAGGGTACTGAACCAAACACACAGAGAGAGAACCAGAGTCAGTAATGAACCACGCCAAGCGGACGCGAGTCGCGATGAACTGAGAGAGTCGCGATGACTAGAGGTAGCAGACGAGTTGCGATGACGCCGACGAGAACCGAGAGAGACGCAGCAGATAGGGTGCAATAGGGAGTCACGATCGAACCGAGACTGAGAGGCAGACGGATCTGGGTCGGGGATGAACCAGATGAAGCAAACCCACTATGGCTAGGGTTTCGAATCTGAAGGCTAGGGTTTCAAACCAAGCTTTGATACCATGTAAGATTTTCGAAATAATCTGTATATTCAACTTGTATTATTTACAAACAGCTCGTTAGTTTATATAGCCTTAAATCTACAATTGAAAAAAGGAAATACATTCACTTTCCTATTTACACCACCACAAGCTTGCCTAATTTGCCTAATTCCTAATATACACAAGTATTGCCATATATACATATATTCTCACATTGATACCGTCCTTCGGAAGCTCTTTTGGTTTCCCAAGGATAGCAGTAGTTGGGGCAAAGAAGATAAATGAATGTATCGAACTTGTAAATGAAAAGGATAACAACAATGACATAGAAACTTCTTCTTCTTCTTCTTCTTCTTCTTCTTTTTGTGATAAATACAATGACAAACAAATATTTGACAAGCATCTACCGAAACTTAAACCACATGAAACATAAATAACGTTTAGTTGGCATAGATGACATTTACACCTTGAACAATTTTTACTAAAATCTGAAAACACCACAGGGAAAATAATAATAATAATAATTAATAAAATAAAAGAGTGGTTTAGCAACAAACTTATGGTGAATTATGATAGCACTAAAATAAATAGTCTATGACTCTTTGACGGGAAGGAAAAAGCATTTCATCATAAAACTACTATTTGCATAAGCTTCTAGTAATGCAGAAATGAGAGCAAGACTAACCATATACCAAAAGAAGTTATTATATGTCACTAAAAGATATAGAGATACACAATGTCTAAACATGGTGATATCAAATATGAACAATGGAGTCGGTGTAAGCAACTAAGCATATAGCCATATCCATAACCTATGGTAAAATTTGTAGTTTCTTTGATAGTCATGAGAAGACGCAATCGCTAACCAAACCAAATCTCTATCAAATGAAATACAGGCAAAACTTCAAGTAAAACCATGTTACATGCTTTGGTGTGTTCAATTTTAAAAAAAAAAATCTTACAATTTTCGTCATTTGTTTAGCCATAAAGATGAGTCTTCAATTACATAGTACATATGTTAAGTTAAACAGAATTAATAACCAGCTTAAATTTATTGAAATTTTGATAAATAAATGTGAACAATGGCCAAAATCATTGCATCACATTGATATATACCTGCTATTTGAAAGGGAGGGTGTGTTCAATAGGTCAATTCTTGATAGACCTTCAGGATATATAATGGATCAACCGGCTCATTCACTCACAGGATATATAATGGATTAACCGGCTCATTTACTTCATGTGAAGAAATGTTATTAATGAAAGCTGTATAAAGGAGGTGTGAGGTACGACTACAGAAAATAAACATTGGTACAAAAGCAAACAAACACTTTGTACAACCAACACGATGAAACAATATTTGTGCAATCCATACTTCGATTCTTTTTTTCATTTGAAAAAAATTGTTTTAGTTGTACTTGCATGACCACAAGTATGCCCAATATAGTGGCATGTGTGTGATGCAAGCAGAAGGTGATGCACTTCACATATTCCAATGTTGATTTAAGAGTAGACTTTGACACAGAATCCATTTCAAAAGCTACACATACAAAAGAGAACATGCTCGTCTCCTTTTAGACTTCAATGAACAAAATGAAAATCATGTCACAAACCATTATTTGATGAGTCTACCAAATAAATGAGGTTGGGAATTTAAAAACTTTGACAAACCTCACTCATGTTCTACTTCATCAGTTCAAAATCATAGGTGGAGAAACAATTTTACAAAAATAAAAGAAAGAAAGAAAGAAAGAATATTTGAGATACAGAGTCAGATTTGATAATGCTTAAATTGAGCTTTGGAAGAGCAGAAAGAAAGAAATAGAAATTCAAAATTAAAGAACCCTTAAACCACACTGTCATCCATAGACATCACCACTTAAGCAGAAAAATTGCTGAAAATTGAAAAGTAATTGGATTAGTGACTGCCACAAAACAGAGATCAAACAACATATGTAGACGAAGCAAAAAGACATCAATGATTCATGGTGAAAATACATAAATTCTAGTTAAGTAATCGATGCTCCGACCCAAAAATTAAAAAAGAAATATATGGTTGATTATTGTGATTGGGCATGTGATCCTAATTATGTCTAGGCTGTTAAAGTGAGAAAACAAATTACCATTCTGCAATATGATTTTTATTTTTATTTTTTTATCAGAAAACAAAAAGAGTTTATGAATAATAATGTGAATCATTACAATCAATAAATAAACACTGGGAAGGGATAACAAAGAATAGAAAAAAAAACAGGCAGCATACAAAACCACCTTAAATTCCAAACATAGACCCAAAATCCCTCTATGAAGAAGAATACAGTGGTTGGTTGGCAAGAGACCAACAGTGAGAACACTTGAAATGGAATTCTCTTGTTTTTCAATAATCTATATATATATATATATTTAAGAAATTAATTTGGCCTTTTCATCTTCAACCTTCGTCAAGTTAGAGCATCTCCAACCTTTCACCACTTTTTTCACCTACTTTGACTCCAAATTTGAATAAAAAGTTTGATTTGATATGAAATACTTCAATCCTTACATCAAAATCTTTTAAAAAATTCCTCTCTTATCCCAATTTTTTCTTTTTACCAAATTTGACGAAAAATAAAAATAAAAATTCATCTCAAATGCTTCATCTTTTTTTAATTTTTTTCAATTTCAACCCTTCAAATTCTTTTTTTTTTTTTGTGATTTTTTACATTTAAAAGGGAAAACTGTTATGATAAAAAATAAAAATAAAAAAACATAGCCCAACCTCCCTAGGGGTGAGAATGGTCCGGATTGGACTAGATTGGAATAAAACCAGGATCAATCCGTTATCTACGAATCTTGAAAAATTAGAACCAATTCAATCCGTTTAAATCATGGAACCAATCCGAACCAATCTATTTAAATACGGATTGGATCGGGTTAGGACCACGGATTCACATAATTAAATAACAAAAATATATTTATAACACTTTAATTTTATAAAAATATAAACATAGAAAGCCCAACAACCCAATGATGTTCAACACCATACTAACAATAACCACAACCATCAATAATGGAGATCCGATAAATAATGTTTTTAAGTAGCATAGCTGCATAGGTACTACAATAGATGAGCTCTATCCCTATCCAACATGTCAATACTGATACTTTCAAGAGAATAACCTTTCTCAAACTGCGGGTAGCGGGTTGGGTTGGGTTGGGGAGGTGGATTGGCAGGTAAATTGCACACCCATAATCCTAGGTTTATGCTTCTGTCCTTCTTCATTTTTCTTCTTCCTACATCACTACTCACTTTGTATTGAGAATGAATTCAAGTATTACTAACTTACTAAGATTTAGCATGTCGTCCTTAAAAGGATGAAGGATTGGGACTAAGGAAACTGAGGTTTTTGAACAAAGCATTTTAGAAAATGGCTAGGGAGATATGCTGAGGAAGGTAAGGGTAGTGTAGAATAAGGAATACTGTGAGGGCTAATAAAATTTGTACAAGTCTTTTGGGGTGAAATTATGGAAGAACTAAATGAATGGCTGAGAAGAATTCTCCAAACATTTTTACTTTTCGGTAGGAAATTTGCAAAGATGAGATTTCATGATGACTACTGTATGGTAGTAAGCCCCACAGACTAATAGTTCCAAATCTCTTCAAAATCACATCATATAAGGAAGCCATGGTACCAGGCAATGTTAGTGGAGTAGATGGTACAGTGGCCCAATTGTATAGGGCCTTGCAAGAATGAGACATTGACATGGTGGAACATCACCATGCTTTATCCCACTCTAGTAGATACCAAAGGGGTAGAAGGCTTACTTTGTGTCAGGAAGTCACAAAGCGTAAGGTTCGATTCTATTCTAGTAATATTCCTAGCCAATAATTGACCAAGGCCTTCCTAAAATGACCCTTCTCTTTTTCCCTTGATAGATATCAACATTGGAAAGAATTATGATCTTGATAATTTGGTGAAATGGGAAAGTGTTCAAAGGAAATCCAGAAAAAGTTAATAACCTATTGGCTAAAGCCTAAACGCTTCTTTTGTTTTCATTATTTAGGATATACCTTACTAGAGCTGACAACTTAGAGTGGTCATCAAGTGAGGATAAGAATTAAACATTGATGGATGGTGGGCTCCTATTAGTGGTTTGCCCTGAAAGCCCCTTGTCATTTAATTAATAAAGGGAAAAGTTTTATTTTATCATACTATCTTTATTGTGATATTGTTTACATTGTAAGTCCATACAATTAAAATTCAAAATTTATGTCTTAAGAGTTAAAATTGAGAGACATGTACTTCTCAGTCTTTTATTCTTAAAAGTTCCTAGTTATACGATTACTAATTGGATGTTAGTAATCCAAACCAAATGGACTAGCATGTGTTATGCTTGTTCAATTGGAAGAGGGAGTAGTCTCAAGTCACTTGTGTGGGACTATCAAACAACCATGTGTGTGTTTGTTCGAGAACAAGTGACCACCCAGGAACATATCTAGTTCGCGTATATGTTATAGTTGTGTGTGCAATCCTTAGACTGAGAACATCATGATTATCCTGTGTGTGCATTGCTAAGTTTTGACAATACAATATGTTTATATTCTAACAACGAAATATGAACCTGTACAGATAGGGCTTAGTGAGACACCCATGGAGGCACGTGAATGTTTAAGAACTAATCCATCACTCTCCAGTAAAGAGATAGAATATATGTGATCTTTTAGGATATAACTCGAGAAATACCTTGGTCAAGGCAAAGTAATAATTAGAAAGGAGTTTCTAATTTCACCAATACAAGTTGATATGCATTAGATTAGACACATGATTGAATTGGGGGTTTGACAAACCTCAATGTCCTAATGACTTTTTGAGACATTATACAATGAAAGGATTGAATGTATGGTAACTGTTAGAAGGGCTCATTTTGTATATTCATAATATCTGGTATGTTCATAATATGTTGCTTGGTGTCACTCAAGATTTGTGGAAGCCCAAGGAAATGTTCCATGGGACATTTAAAATTCATAATAAATATCAAGAATTTATATTATTTCTACTACACAAATAAGTGTGAACCTAAAATTTCACACACAATAAGGACAGCATGTAATATAATGGAATGAAAAGAGTTAATCCAAATTAAGTGTTAAGCAGGAATTTAAATTAATTAAGAGTTTCGGAAAGCGGTTGCAGTCACCGTAACGGTTGCAGTTGCAGAGTGTAAAGGCTGTAGAGTAACGGTTGCGGTAATCGAAATCGTGAATTTTTTAATTTTTCGCACAAATTGAAAAAAACTTACCGATACGCATTTTTTTTTTCGAAATAAAATTTATTAGGGTTTAAAATATATTTTGATCAATTTTTGTTAGTTTTTAAGTATAATCCAATATATTTCATATTTTTAAATCACTATAGAAGGAGCTTTTTACATTTTATATCAATAGTTAATGACTTTAAAAATAATTGATTTTAAATGTGTATAAAATTATTTTTTACCAATACCTGAACTAACTAAATAAAAAATATTTACAATTAGTAAATGAAATGATTATAAATAAAAATTGTGCCATAAGCAAAAATTATTTTTGAGATTTTTTTTAAAGACATTTTTTAGACAACACATTATAGTGACAAAATAAAAAATATTTACAATTAAATATTAAATGAAATGATTATAAAAATAAATACCACTGTGTATATATTTTTTATTTTACATGCTAATGTAATGAAATAAAAATTTAAAAATAAATTATAAAGAAAAAAAATTCATACAAGATTTTTTCTTTGGACTTGAATCACTTGAGTATTCGTTCTTTTTTAGTAAGATTTTTTTTTTTTTTTTTGGAAAGGAAGCTATTCAGAATATTGTAACGATGTATAACAGGCCATTACGATACCGCTACGGCCGTTATGTAACATCAAAACGGCAGTTACACATGTAAATTTCTGTTGCACCGCAAAAGCGGGTGTAACAGGTAGCACTTACCATCGTAGCCGTTATGGAACAACATTTTTTGAAACCACGAGCTAATTAATGAGATTATTGCAATTAAGAGTTAATTGTGATATAACTTGTTCATTGTAACGTACTTATCAAAAAACAAAACCAAAAAAAAAAAAAAGCATCTTTGTTATAAGATCAAGAAGATCATCAATCCTTGTGGGACAAGATAGACTTGGTCCTCAAATATGAGAGTTATTATAAGAGCTAGCACTCCAGAGATTGACATCTGCCTCTCGTTGTCTCTCTAGAATACTTGTGTGCTTGACAATGCCCTTGTTATAAGACTTTTAGAGGTCGGATGCTTAAACAACTTTTGAATTGGAGTGAACTCAAAAATCAAGCAAGGAATTGAATTTTGTGTTTAGGTATTGTTCAAACTATTTCTATGGATGTTTGTATCTATGTTTCATATATATCACAAATATAATCATGGGGATTGAGAATCAAAATAAATTTTAAATTCCTTTATGCCTAGCCTAGGTACGCAATTTCCAACAGCTCCTCCATGCTTGTATTTGGATGGAGTAACATAGGCAATCTTTTGAAGGACTGGAATTTCCTGATCTGACATTAAAACATGCTGATGTGAGATCCCCATATTTGGTTAGCAGGGATTAGGGAAAATCCTCCTTCCATATTGATTTTTCTGTTTAGAATTTGGGTGGAATGAGTCTACAGCCTACAGGCTTGTTTTGCTTGCTAATATACATCTACATCCTATCCTATGTACATGGTTGCACCCATTTGATGCATTTTCCTGACAGAACATTACTTATTAAAGAAGTCAAGAAAAAGAAAAAGTATCTACCTTGAGTGAGAACAGACACTCTAACCGTCTGTCCAGTTCCCTTGGGTAAATTCACCTATCATGAAAGAATTAGAACAACAACAGAAACTAATTGTAGTCCATGAGATTGCTACCATATTTCTCACTACAATTAATCAAATGCAGGAAAAACTCACTATTGCCCTCAGCTGTTGATCATTGTATTTTGGGTCAATGTTGAGACGGAAATGAGCTTCAGCTGTTTCGACAAACTTTGTGCTTGCCATTTGCTTGAGCAATGATATTGCTGTTTTTAAGTCATACTCTTTCTTGTTTTCCCTCAATTTTTGAATTTCCAAGAATCTCTTAGACCTTCTCTAATAATCCCAACAAAAGGAGGATAAGGAGTAAGTTAAAAATGCAGTAACAACATGAATGTGAAACTAGGAGACAGGAATGTGAAAGTATGGGGGTAGACAACTTAAACAAACCAAAGAGGAGACAAGACCAGCAACCACAGTAACAAATATCACGTTCAGAATTCATGCAAAGCAAATTTATGATTTAAAAAGGCAATATATGTCAAGAATTTTTAAACGTGAGGTCTCCTAGCTCTTGTTCTATAACAATTTACAATTTATAATAATTTAAAACATTTTTTGTTTTTATCAAATTTGATGGGAAAAAAAAAAATCATCTCAAATTCTTCATCTTTTTTAAAAAAATTTCAATTTCAACCCTTCAAATTCAAATTTTTTTTTTTTTTGGTGTGATTTTTTACATTTAAAAGGGAAAACTGTTATGATAAAAATAAAAATAAAATAAAAAAAACATAGCCCAACCTCCCCATATATATATTATAAGTAATACACAGGCTCTGTTGTGATGAGATGAGGAGATTGCGACACTATTAGCATTGATAAAAATAATAAAATAATAATTTTGATATATTTAGTTTGGGTGATTTTTGAGGAGTGAGTACCTGGTAGTTTTGATTGCTCATATTGCAGTTTATTCCTCTACCTCCTCTCTACTTCAAAGATGTATCTGTTGTCTATGAAGACTGCAGAAATGGGAGCAATGAAGAGATGTTGAACATACAGCTCGAGCGAAACAGTTCACTACTATAGCGGTAAATACAATGTCCCAGAAGTTTTGCAGGTCTACAGTGAAAGTACTGGGAGCCTCACATCTATGCTCGAGTGAAGACTTGACTACTTGAGCGGTCTTGCCTGTAAACAGGCAAGATACTGGGAGCCTCGAATCACCGCTCAAGCGACCACTTGATCACTCGAGCGGTCTCCCATGACAGAATGTTACAATCTTCCCCCCTTGAGGAAATTTTGTCCCAAAATTTCGTGATTCCTGTCAACAACAAAACCCAACAACCTAATGACGTTCAACACCATACTAACAATAACCACAACCATCAATAATGGAGGTCCAATAAATAATGTTTTTAAGTAGCACAACTGCATAGGTACTACAATAGATGAGCTCTATCCCTATCCAACATGTCACTACTGATACTTTCAAGAGGATAACCTCTCTCAAACTGCGGGTAGCGGGTTGGGTTGGGGAGGTGGATTGGCAGGTAAATTGCACACCCATAATCCTAGGTTTATGCTTCTGTCCTTCTTCATTTTTCTTCTTCCTACATCACTACTCACTTTGTATTGAGAATGAATTCAAGTATTACTAACTTACTAAGATTTAGCATGTCGTCCTTAAAAGGATGAAGGATTGGGACTAAGGAAACTGAGGTTTTTGAACAAAGCATTTTAGAAAATGGCTAGGGAGATATGCTGAGGAAGGTAAGGGTAGTGTAGAATAAGGAATACTATGAGGGCTAATAAAATTTGTACAAGTCTTTTGGGGTGAAATTATGGAAGAACTAAATGAATGGCTGAGAAGAATTCTCCAAACATTTTTACTTTTCGGTAGGAAATTTGCAAAGATGAGATTTCATGATGACTACTGTATGGTAGTAAGCCCCACAGACTAATAGTTCCAAATCTCTTCAAAATCACATCATATAAGGAAGCCATGGTACCAGGCAATGTTAGTGGAGTAGATGGTACAGTGGTTTGGCCCAATTGTATAGAGCCTTGCAAGAATGAGACATTGACATGGTGGAACATCACCATGCTTTATCCCACTCTAGTAGATACCAAAGGGGTAGAAGGCTTACTTTGTGTCAGGAAGTCACAAAGCGTAAGGTTCGATTCCATTCTAGTAATATTCCTAGCCAATAATTGACCAAGGCCTTCCTAAAATGACCCTTCTCTTTTTCCCTTGATAGATATCAACATTGGAAAGAATTATGATCTTGATAATTTGGTGAAATGGGAAAGTGTTCAAAGGAAATCCAGAAAAAGTTAATAACCTATTGGCTAAAGCCTAAACGCTTCTTTTGTTTTCATTATTTCGGATATACCTTACTAGAGCTGACAACTTAGAGTGGTCATCAAGTGAGGATAAGAGTTAAACATTGATGGATGGTGGGCTCCTATTAGTGGTTTGCCCTGAAAGCCCCTTGTCATTTAATTAATAAAGGGAAAAGTTCTATTTTATCATACTATCTTTATTGTGCTATTGTTTACATTGTAAGTCCATACAATTAAAATTCAAAATTTATGTCCTAAGAGGTAAAATTGAGAGACATGTACTTCTCAGTCTTTTATTCTTAAAAGTTCCTAGTTATACGATTACTAATTGGATGTTAGTAATCCAAACCAAATGGACTAGCATGTGTTATGCTTGTTCAATTGGAAGAGGGAGTAGTCTCAAGTCACTTGTGTGGGACTATCAAACAACCATGTGTGTGTTTGTTCGAGAACAAGTGACCACCACGGAACATATCTAGTTCGCGTATATGTTATAGTTGTGTGTGCAATCCTTAGACTGAGAACATCATGATTATCCTGTGTGTGCATCGCTAAGTTTTGACAATACAATATGTTTATATTCTAACAACGAAATATGAGCCTGTACAGATAGGGCTTAGTGAGACACCCATGGAGGCACGTGAATGTTTAAGAACTAATCCATCACTCTCAAGTAAAGAGATAGAATATATGTGATCTTTTAGGATATAACTCGAGAAATACCTTGGTCAAGGCAAAGAAATAATTAGAAAGGAGTTTCTAATTTCACCAATACAAGTTGATATGCATTAGATTAGACACATGATTGAATTAGGGGTTTGACAAACCTCAATGTCCTAATGACCTTTTGAGACATTATACGATGAAAGGATTGAATGTATGGTAACTATTAGAAGGGCTCATTTTGTATATTCATAATATGTTGCTTGGTGTCACTCAAGATTTGTGGAAGCCCAAGGAAATGTTCCATGGGACATTTAAAATTCATAATAAATATCAAGAATTTATATTATTTCTACTACACAAATAAGTGTGAACCTAAAATTTCACACACAATAAGGACAACATGTAATATAATGGAATGAAAAGAGTTAATCCAAATTAAGTGTTAAGCAGGAATTTAAATTAATTAAGAGTTTCGGAAAGCAGTTGCAGTCACCGTAACGGTTGCAGTTGCAGAGTGTAAAGGCTGTAGAGTAACGGTTACGGTAACCGAAACCGTGAATTTTTTAATTTTTCACACAATTTGAAAAAAAACTTACCGATACGCATTTTTTTTTCGAAATAAAATTTATTAGGGTTTAAAATATATTTTGATCAATTTTTGTTAGTTTTTAAGTATAATCCAATATATTTCATATTTTTAAATCACCATAAAATGAGCTTTTTACATTTTATATCAATAGTTAATGACTTTAAAAATAATTGATTTTAAATGTGTATAAAATTATTTTTAACCAATACCTAAACTAACTAAATAAAAAATATTTACAATTAGTAAATGAAATTATTATAAATAAAAATTGTGCCATAAGCAAAAATTATTTTTGAGATTTTTTTTAAAGACATTTTTTAGACAACACATTATAGTGACAAAATAAAAAATATTTACAATTAAATATTAAATGAAATGATTATAAAAATAAATACCACTGTTTATATATTTTTTATTTTACATGCTAATGTAATGAAATAAAAATTTAAAAATAAATTATAAAGAAAAAAAATTCATACAAGATTTTTTCTTTGGACTTGAATCACTTGAGTATTCGTTCTTTTTTAGTAAGATTTTTTTTTTTTTTTTGAAAATGAAGCTATTCAGAATATTGTAACGATGTATAACAGGCCATTACGGTACCACTACGGCCGTTATGTAACACCAAAACAGCAGTTACACATGTGAATTTCTGTCGCACCGCAAAAGCGGATGTAACAGGTAGCACTTACCATCGTAGCCGTTATGTAACAACATTTTTTGAAACCATGAGCTAATTAATGAGATTATTGCAATTAAGAGTTAATTGTGATATAACTTGTTCATTGTAACGTACTTATCAAAAAAAAAAAAACATCTTTGTTATAAGATCAAGAAGATCATCAATCCTTGTGGGACAAGATAGACTTGGTCCTCAAATATGAGAGTTATTATAAGAGCTAGCACTCCAGAGATTGACATCTGCCTCTCATTGTCTCTCTAGAATACTTGTGTGCTTGACAATGCCCTTGTTATAAGACTTTTAGAGGTCGGATGCTTAAACTACTTTTGAATTGGAGTGAACTCAAAAATCAAGCAAGGAATTGAATTTTGTGTTTAGGTATTGTTCAAACTATTTCTATGGATGTTTGTATCTATGTTTCATATATATCACAAACACAATCATGGGGATTGAGAATCAAAATAAATTTTAAATTCCTTTATGCCTAGCCTAGGTACGCAATTTCCAACAGCTCCTCCATGCTTGTATTTGGATGGAGTAACATAGGCAATCTTTTGAAGGACTGAAATTGCCTGATCTGGCATTAAAACATGCTGATGTGAGATCCCCATATTTGGTTAGCAGGGATTAGGGAAAATCGTCCTTCCATATTGATTTTTCTGTTTAGAATTTGGGTGGAATGAGTCTACAGCCAACAGGCTTGTTTTGCTTGCTAATATACATCTACATCCTATCCTATGTACATGGTTGCACCCATTTGATGCATTTTCCTGACAGAACATTACTTATTAAAGAAGTCAAGAAAAAGAAAAAGTATCTACCTTGAGTAAGAACAGACACTCTAACAGTCTGTCCAGTTCCCTTGGGTAAATTCACCTATCATGAAAGAATTAGAACACTAGCAGAAACTAATTGTAGTCCATGAGATTGCTACCATATTTCTCATTACAATTAATCAAATGCAGGGAAAACTCACTGTTGCCCTCAGCTGTTGATCATTGTATTTTGGGTCAATGTTGAGACGGAAATGAGCTTCAGCTGTTTCGACAAACTTTGTGCTTGCCATTTGCTTGAGCAATGATATTGCTGTTTTTAAGTCATACTCTTTCTTGTTTTCCCTCAATTTTTGAATTTCCAAGAATCTCTTAGACCTCCTCTAATAATCCCAACAAAAGGAGGATAAGGAGTAAGTTAAAAATGCAGTAACAACATGAATGTGAAACTAGGAGACAGGAATAACTAGCGCACGAATAAACCAGTAAGTTCCCACAGACGGCGCCAACTGATAAGGTTATAAGTTTCTGCTTCCCGGGTGGATGGGTCGGACTGGTCCAAGCTCTTCAGACTCTGGCTCAGGGTGATGACTCCGTCAAGTAACCTACATGCAAGCCCAGAGGGGAACGGGGTAGTCCCCCAGTGAACCCTCCGGTGTGAGAATTAGTAGAGTGGGGGAAAAAATGTGTAGAGAGGGATTGAGAGAGAGAGATAGCTTAACCTTCTTCTCCTCCTCCTATCCTTGCTTATATCCTTTCGTTATCATTTTTCCTGTCTCTTGTGACGTGCTTTCTTTCGCCGAAAGCCTGTGTCGTAGCTTACCTTGTTCAGGGTGATGGAGGCTCTGTTCCGGCGGGGGGTGCTGTCGTAATAAATGCTGTGATGGGATGCATTAATGGTGATGTGTTGTGATAATAACTCTGCAGATCTTTGTCTGCTGATGTGGCCCGTGTCCCACCTGCCATGTGCCCAAATGCCATTGGCTCTCCATGTCTAGATGGCCTCCAGCTGTCTTGGGCTTTGCCAACCGGGTTATGTCATTGGTCCCAAGTGATGGGTTTGGGGTGGTTTACTGTGGGCCGTATGCCTTGTGGGCCTATCCATGTCAGTGCTCATCATTAAGATAAAACTCAAGCAAAAACAAGTAAATAAATGACTATAATACACCCACAATACATGGTTTCAATCTCTAATATTGGTTTCCTATAACTAAAACTGCAAAATAAACAGAAATCTAACAAAATTCAATATGTAATTCACTACCCACATCCACAATCCAAGAATAACAAAATAAATACCAATTAAAGTAGATCTTAATTAGCACAATCTATCCCCAACTCAATTATAAGATTCTTGAAACTAAAAATTTTACAATCACAGTTAAAATAAATGTGAAAATCAAAGAAACCCAACAAATTAAATCACTAATGTGTCCACAACTGAAGAGAGAGGGAAATAAGGAATGAGATTACACATACCGTCACTCTTGAGAGGCAATGCGGCTTTGCCTTTCTTGGGCTTAGTTGGGGTAACAACAACACCACTTTCCACAACTCCCTCTTGGAGTTGTTCAGTTTCTTCTGCTACCTCTGCTTCAGCAGCCAAATCGGCCACAACAACTGGGGAATTGGGTGAAGAAACATCAATCCAATTGTTGGATTTTGTGTGTGTGAAATGTAAGACAAGTGGGTAGAGAGAGAAAGTGTTGGAGAAGTTGAAGAAGCATGGTTTGGGTTTGAAGGAGAGAGAGGGGGTGAGGTGTTGGGGAAGAAGAGAGGAAGCGCCGTGGTATAGCATGAGATGAGAGTGGAGGGAGTTGCAGAGAAAATTTACTAATAAGTTCTACTTTCACGACTCATCAATCATTTATTTAGTTCTTATAAGTCCTATTTTACATTAGAGTAATGCTAGAGACCCCAAATATTCTACTAAAAGTTTTACCAAATGTCTCACATGGGTGTGGGACCCACACAATGTGGGTCCCATGTGGGTCCCACACCCATGTGAGACATTTGGTAAAACTTTTGGTAGAATTTTTGGGGCCTCTAGCATTTTTGTTTACATTAAAATTATTTAGTTCCTATAAGTCCTATTTTACATTAAAATTTAATAGGGTATTTAGTTCTTATAAGTCCTATTTTACATTAAAATTATGAAGTTCTTATAAGTCCTATTTTACATTAAAATTTAATAGGGTAATATTACACATATTATAATGATATCTTATTATCATATTTTAAAAATGACACATTTGTCAAAAGGTTTAATAAGATAATAATGCATAAATATCTCATTGTCACATTTTGAAAAAAAATGACATATGTGGAAAAATTTAATAAGATAATAGTAGACACATTAGAATGATATTATTAAGCTATTTCTCAGCTTATCTCAAAAGTTGATTAGGGGTGCTTAAATTTTTAACTTAAGCGCGCAGTTGGTGTGAGGGCTAAAATTATTTAAATGCCCTCGTCAATACCTAAATTTTAATATTAATATTAATTAAAAAAGAAAAAATTGTATATTTCTGAAGAAAAAGAAAAAAATCAATATTAATTAAAAAATAAATATTAATTGGTATTAATTATTAATAAATTCGTATTGTATATTTTTATATTAATTAAAAAATAAAAAATTGTATATTTCTGAAGAAAAAGAAAAAAATCAATATTAATTAAAAAATAAATATTAATTGGTATTAATTATTAATAAATTCATATTGTATATTTTTACATTAATTAAAAAATAAAAAATTGTATATTTCAGAAGAAAAAGAAAAAAATCAATATTAATTAAAAAAGGGTTAAAAAATTCCTTCATGGACTTCTTGAGTTAAAACAATTCTAAATTGGACTTATCAATAAAAATCTCTAGATATTAAATGTATACTTTTTACTTTAAAATAAAATATTCAAAAAAGAGATTTTTATTGATAAGTCCAATTTAGAATTGTTTTAACTCAAGAAGTCCATGAAGGAATTTTTTAACCCATTTAGTCCCATGTATGTATAGTTTTATTCCATAAAGTCTTTTTTTCTTGATTTACACTATTTTCTTAGACACTTATGCCCTTATATTTAATTTTGATACCCTTATAAATATTTTTTGAACGGTTAGCAATTTTATGATGTGAACATTCATATTTTAAAATTTACATTGGTAAGAATGTAAAATTGGCCCGTGAGCAGCCCGAAATCCGCCTGCGAACCGGGACGGGCCCGGGCCGTTGACAATGTGAATATTCACATTAACATGTTAACATTCACATTAATAGGAGTGTAAAATTGGCCCGCGTCTCGTGGCGGCGCGAAACCCGCCCTCAGCCCATGGGCGGCCCGGGACGGGCCCGGTCCGGCCCGTTGACAATGTGAATATTCACATTGACATGTTAACATTCACATTGATAGGAGTCTTAAATTAGCCCGCGCCCCGTGGCTGCCCGAAACCCGCCCACGGCCCGGGGCGGGCTTGGCTCGGCCTGTTGACAATGTGAATATTCACATTGACATGTTAACATTCACATTGATAAGAGTATAAAATTGGCCAGCGGCCCAGGGCGGGCCTGACCTGGCCCGTTGACAATGTGAATATTCACATTGACATGTTAACATTCATATTGATAAGAGTGTAAAATTGGCCCGCAGCCCGTGGGCGGCCCGAAGCCCGACCGTAGCCCGATGCGGGCTTGGGCCGACCCGTGACAATGTGAATATTCATATTGACATATTAACATTAACATTAATAGGAGTGTAAAATTTGCCCGCTGCCCAAAGCTCGCCCGCGGCCCGGGGTAGGCCGGGCCCAGCCCGTTAACAATGTGAATATTCACATTGACATGTTAACATGCACATTGATAGGAATGTAGAATTGGCCCGCGACCCGTGGGCTGCCCGAAGCTTGCCCATGACCTAGGGCAGGCTCGTTTGAGTCCGGGCCGGAGCATGTCCGAGACCCTAGGCTAGGGCCTAAGCCCGGATTTTTTCGGACACCCACGAGGCTCGATATGGGTCGACCCAGGCCTCTATGCATTGATGATATGAACATTCACATTGACGATGTGAGCATTTACATTATAGGTATTTTGGTAATTATGTCTCTCATAGGACTTATTGAAACATAAGAAAATAATGTGGACTAAATAGAATACAAGTAGATGAAAATGGTATTTTGGTCTTTTTACCTCAAAAAGGACTTAATGGAATAGTCAAAAAGAACATAGGCTGCCCGAAGCCCGCCCGCGGCCCGGGAAAGGCTCATTTGGGCCCGGGCTCGAGCCTAGTCCGAAACCCTAGGCTAGGGCCTGGGCCATCACTTTGAAGCCCAGCCCGGCCCATCGGGCCCCGTTAAGGCCCATTCAAGGCTCGTTTAGACACGAGCCGCGGGCTAATTCTACATTTCTATCAATGTGCATGTTAACATGTCAATGTGAATATTCATACTGTCAACGGGCCGAGCCGGGCCTACCCCGGGCCCCAGGTGAGCTTCGGGCAGCGGGCAAATTTTACATTCCTATCAATGTTAATGTTAACATGTCAATGTGAATCTTCACATTGTCACGGGTCGGGCGAAGCCCGCCTTGAGCTGCGGTCGGGCTTCGAGCCGCCCACGGGCTGCGGGCCAATTTTACACTCTTATCAATGTGAATGTTAACATGTCAATGTGAATATTCACATTGTCAACGGGCCATTCACATTGATAAGAGT